CCCACATCCTGTGCACACCTATCAACGATCTTTCATAGTCGTCTAACCACATGATTTCGTGTTGCCCTAACGTTAATGATTTCCACGAAATGCTTTCTCTCTTATAATTACAAAGTTGGTCGYRYCCTACCCTATCTTGGTTCGGCTGGTACCTAGTTGACCGTGAACTAGACAATGCGGGACGCTAGTCCATAGCAAAATTAATCATTTCATAATCTATTAAGAAAAGAATAATTAACCTCATACAATTTGTACAGTGTAACTTATGTTTACGTGTAGTTTGGTATAACATTGAAACAGTGTCATTAGAATACCTAATAACAATAGTTATAATGCACTCACCAAAGATGGCACCGCTCTTGGGCACAGGCGACGACGATTTGTTTCTGCTCTGTAATCACGACCTAGTATCATTGAGTATAGATAGTACTATATTTATATTTATTTACTATATTTATATTTTTTAGATAGTACTATCTATACTCAATGCTTATAGTCAAGATAATATTTGTATAGATATTAAAAGTTATGAAAACTCAGACATGTTATATCCACTTGATGCAACCATTGATTATAGTAAAAGAATAACATCTTTATTTAATTCAAATATTGAACAATTGTTGTTTGAATCAAAACACAACATAAAAAGCAGAATGGTAAATTTTATTGAAATTGTATACATCAGAACATTACATATTTGTCTAACATGTAAATCAAAATTCATTGAAAAATTACTTAATGTTTTAATAAATGCTTATGTGAAGAATTTTAATAACACTRCCATACAGAATTATAAAATGAAAACTAAAAATAAGAAATTGAAGAAAATAGCTCATTTATAATCAAATTTATTATTAATATACTGTGCCATTATTTTAYTATGGATAATAATATTTTTTTATTTTGTATATTATACAAATTATTACAAGTTGATTTTATTATTATTACATTTTATTGTATTTAATATTTTTCATAGTCTTCTGTCACCCCCTAGATAAAAAAATATCTGATATGACAATTTTTTTATTTAAATCCTTAATAAATTAATATCTTTATAAATAAAGTATATATTATGGCAGAATTTAAAAAATAAAATATTATTTATTTCTTACACTGAAAGTATTTTCAAATTAAATAGAATAATAGCTAATTTAAAATAACTGTTTTGTCTTTACTGAACAGTAGCATTTTTTCACATAGAAGATTTATTCTCATGGATATATGTGATGAATATGTTTTCAAATTTATTTAACAGATTCCAATAATAAATTTAAATTTCTTTGTAGAAAAATTATATAAAGTACAAGTACTAAATTTTTTTAACTCACAACTTCTAGTTGATAACAATATTTTATTTTGTACATGAAAAATTGCTATTCTGACCAGTATTATGTACCTTCAATATTCTAGTACTAGTATAGACTGTAAAATGATACAACAATTGATTGATATGTTATTTGTATATAGTTACACAGTATATATTAATGTATAGTTACATAAAGAAACAAAGACCATGGATAACATAATAGCACAGATTATATAAAATAGCATTATTAATTATTATTTATTAAAACAAAATACAAACTTACAAAATATATCAAGTAGTATTATTAGTAAGGTACAAAAGGGGCTCTACATAGGCAACCACCATTGAAACTGAGGGCAACGAGTTTTAACCATATTATCATTAAGTTTCCTGTATTATCATTTACAGTATTTGGTGCTTCACAGACATTTGTCATTTGTGTTAATCAGAGATGGAATTTTTAGTTCATTTTTGTGAATAGTTCGTCAGTTCACAGTTCATTTAAGTGAATAGTTCAAATGAACTATTCTTCAGTTCACACAGTTCACTAGTTGTATGAAACTATAGATCATAGTCATATAACTTGGCATTTGGCAATGTACTAAATTAACTAATGAGTAATGATAAATGAACTATTCGTTTTATGATACTATCATTTTATCAATACCAGTAAAATCCTGAAAACAGCTGTTCACAATCTGATGATACACAATATAAATAATTATATACTATTTTAAAAGTACCTACTAAAGGTTCGGATGGTATACCGTATGTCCGTATACCGTTCACACTACTAACTCACTAGGTAATAGGTACCTGTACTTAGGGCAATTTGAATCTATTTCGCTTTTAATTCCTTTTTACTTAATTAATTGATTGTATGTACTATAAAATAATGCTAATTCTATAATACTACAATCTATATCAATAAATTAATGTTCAAATCTGTCCTACTGAGTTTAGCTCATAATATATTACAGAAAAATATTTAATTTAGTGTACAAATAATGATGAAATTATTGACTATTAAAAGTCATTAATTCAAAAACAATAACCATATTAATAAAAATGTTGGTACTTTTCGGTTATCATACTATGGAGACCAACTATTGGACCTAATAATGGAAATATTGATTCCATTTTTGTATTATGAACTATATAGAACCATTTATTTTATGTTTAAAATTATTCTATTTGAACATAATATATAAAATAGTGGATACTGGATATGGGTACTTATTTATAATAGACAATAGACATACAATTATTATCATGCAATAAATATACTTCTTTATTTTATTTATTTGTATCTTGTTTTTATATTTATGTACTTGGCTATTAGCTAATATTATTACTTACTAATACAAAAATTAATTACAATAGTTAATTAAGTAATACAGGAAGAAATGGCGAAGATTTTTTTTTAATATATAATTTTTAATATTTTTGTATAATACTTTATTTGTTTCTATTGTTATTTACATTCAATAATAAATACTTAAAATGTTATGCTATTGTGTTGTTATTACTTTTATAATTCAATTAAAATTACATCCCTTATCCCTAAAATATTCATTAATTATGTGAGAAGTGGCAACATTTTGAATACCACAAAATTAGTATTCTGTTAAATTTTAATGTTATACAAGTCAAAAGATTAAAACAAGTATTTTTTTCTACATAATGATAATAATCTTATATAATAAGGTTAGTAATATAACTGTTTTAAACAATAATATGAGTGGTAATAATATTGTAAAATTACAAGAGTAGACATGTAAAATCATGCACAAATTTGAAACTATACCATGTATAACTATAGTATTAGTATATTTTATGACTGTATGCATTAATATACCAATAATTATTGCAGTATCTGTATTTGCATTTAACAGTGAACAGTGTTTATTTAATTGAGCGTAGTGAATTTTACAGATTTAATTATTTTAATTAAAAACATCTTATTTAAAAGTATATTTAATAAATTGTTTTAATAATGGCACCACGTAAAAGGAGTGATATGTGGAATCACTTTACTGAAGTGGAAAATAGCAAAGCCAAATGTGGGTATTGTGGTAACACGTATAGTGTTTCTGGTGGATCTTTTGGCAATCTGAGTCGCCACTTAAAAACTGTACATCCCACTGTAATACTATCAAAAGCAGTAGTGACTAGTGATGAAAGTCGTGTAGATGATCCTGCAGATCATGGTATTTTTAATAAATTATTTTTTACTATTATATTTCTTTTAAATTTTTTATTATTAAAACTCTTTATGTTATTTTAAATGATTAATTAAGCAGGTTCACCAGTAGAAACATTAATTGTTCGTGGTACTAGTAGTGTTAAATCGAACCAACCAACTCGCATCCAAAGTATCATTATGCATTTTATGCAAAATAAAAAACCTATGGCTGTCAGTAGATCAAAACAAATTGATGAGCAAGTTACAAAGATGATTGTTAAAGGGTAATTACATATTTTTTTATTTTTAATCATATTAAAATTATTAATACATTTTCATTTGACTAGAAAGAAAAAGAATAATAATAAGTACTTATATTTTAAAGTAATATTATATTTTGAATTCCTACATATAACTACAATACTACAATTAGATATTTACTGGTTTTAAAAAATTTTAAACACTCAAAACATTTAAAAATTTTGTATTTATACCCACATTTTCTGAAAGCTCTTTAATAGTATAAATAAGATCAGATTAGCTTAATACTTTTCAACGCCATATTTTCAATTTTTTTTTTTTTTTTTCATGATACAGATACTATGCGTTTTCCATAGTAGACGATAAAGAATTTAGAAAATTCGTAAATATGTTGAACCCTGGATATGAACTTCCTTCTCGCCAGACAGTATCAAAAAATTTGATTCCCCGATTATACAATTCAACATTAGAAGTTTTAAAAAAAAAAGTTGAAAATGCAAGTGCAGTTTCATTAACAGCGGATGGACGGACTTGCATAAATAATAGGAGCTATATGGCAGTTACAGCTCACTTTATTGATTGTGATGGTAAAATGTCTTCAGTTTGTCTTGGCTGTGAACATTTTGACCAACGGCACACGTCTGATAATCTAGCTGCCTTTTTAAAAAAAATAGCAGGTGAATGGAAAATTAATAATAAAATTGTAGCCATTGTTACCGATAATGCTTCAAATATTTCTAATGCTGTACGTCAATTACATTATCGACAAGTAGGATGTTTTGCCCATTCCATTAATCTTGTTGTTCAACACTCTCTTGAGAATATTTCAGTCATAGTAGCTAAAGTAAAAAAAATTGTTGAGTTTTTTAAACGTAGTAGTAATGCATTAGTAAAACTTAATTCAACACAAACTCAAATGGGACTACCTACGTTGAAATTAAAACAAGATTGTATGACTAGATGGAATTCAACATTTGATATGTTGAAGAGAATTGTCTCCATCAAAGATGCTGTAATTTCAACTTTAGCTGTCTTACAAACTAACATTGTAGTCTTAACTCCAGCAGAATGGGATATAGTTGAAAGGCCATTGAAGTATTGCAAATTTTTAATGAAGTCACAATTGAAGTTAGTTCTGAAAAAACAGTGTCTGTGTCAAAAGTAATAGTTTTAGTTAGTTCTATGTTCCAGACAATGGAAACTTACGTTAATGACATATCTTTGCCTTATGAAGTTAACCAAATTGCGGTTTCTCTCAAAAATCAACTGAGGAAAAGGTTTAGCGAAATTGAAGAAAATGAAATAATAGCGCAAGCCTCGATTTCAGATCCGAACAGAAAGACGACGGTATTTACCATTTGGTAATTTGGTATTTAACTCTTTTCCAATTTTTTTCCACAGAGTTGTTCCAAATACCTACCTTTTGGTTTTGGTATTTCAAATTGGTCAGTAAGTTCAATTTATGATGCGAAAAAACCCTAATGTTTATACATATATATACAAATTGAATATCATTGTAAGATTATTACTTGGTATATTTTAAGCGTTAACTATCTATATGTATAAAAATTTACGGCTAGCAGCTAGCATAATCGCAGGTAACGATTTTCAATAATATCAAGTATCAACAGATAACAGAAATCTATAGGTAGGTATAATATTATTATATTTTATATCTGATTTTGAACAAGATATCTTATCTAGTTAATGTCCATTATCGCCATATTTCGAACCACGAACTAAGATAATATATTTTAGTTCGTGAGTGTGGTGACCACTACTGTAGTTCAAATTCAAAAGACGTTCACGAACTATATTATCAGGGGCCGGACACTGATAAAATTTAACACAGTAAAGATACCCAATATTCAAAAACGTAGCAGCCATCTTCCCGTTGGCTAATCAGTGTGACTATACCAGAAAAACAAAATGTTAAACACAATTTTTTCCAAAAATATTTTAAATCTAATTAGTTTTATTCTAATTGATCACTTACTTAAAATTATTAAAATCAGTAACCGTTAACGATAACTATAAACCAAATACATAATTAGGAAGGTACTCATATTAAATACAT